GCTTATGCCGGATTTCGACACTGCTGCCAGCCCCGTGCCTATGCCCCCAAAGAGGTCCAGCACGACTGTTGGTCCCAGTAGCCGCTTGGTATTGCTGCACAGCGCATTGAGGTCTACCTCTTCTCTTGCCTGCTCCGCTGGCGGCGTTGGCAGTCGTGTGATCTGCTGCCAGGTGGGTATGCCCAGCTCTTCCCGCATTTCTGCTTTTGTGCACTGGTATGCCTCTCTTGGTTCCCTTAGCACAAAGCGGACCGGCAAGGTCCCGATAGGCCCATCATCTTCCCAGTAGCAGACCCGGTATTGCACCTTCTCTTCCCACATACAGATGGTGGCTCCGATCCCAAATAGGTACTCCACTCCTATGAGCAAGTCGAAGTCTTCTGACTTTGACACTCCACAATCCACTCGTAGCGCACACTCCTCCGGGGTTCATGGGTTGAGCATTAGCGACATGGATTGCCTGGTCTTGGGCATCCATTTCGCCTCCCCCCCTTCTGCCGTCATCAAGAGGTAGCCTTCCGCTATCAGCCGCCCCGGCTTGTGCAGCTGCAGCTTCTCCGCCAGCCGTCTCCCGATCAGTACATGTGCCGCGCCCGTATCAACTATGGCCCGTTGCGCCGCGAAGCCCCCGATAGTAACCGCCCCAGCTGCAATGGTTAGTACGGTGGCCTGGCAGGTCATCCTCTCCCTCGGGTGTCGGAAAGCTGCTCCTGGGGCTCCGGGGGCCGGTTCTCTTTGCTCAGAGGCCTCCAGCTCGGCCAGTTGAGCTCGCAGCCGCGCGATAGTGGCTTGCCGATCCTCCCCTCCGTCCGCACCCCGTCGTTCCCTTCGCCCCGCGTAACAGTCTGCTTCCCGATGTCCTTTCCGATTGCACCGCGCGGAGACCGGTGCGGCTGGACATTCCCTTCGCATGTGATCTCGGCTCCCACACAGCGAACAGGCCGCGGGGTTGTGAAAATCTTGCCGCAGGTGCCCAGTCAGTCCGCACTTCGTAAAGCCGCCGCCTTGTCTCGAGACGCTTCACTATCTCATATGCTTCCTTCAAGGTGGCCTCCGATCCCATCTCGAACACCCGCACTTCCACGTCCTGCCGTAGGGGCAGACTCAGCCCATTCACAAACTTCCCTATCAGCCGTCCTTGGTCGGTGCAGTTCATGTCTTCCCCCAGCTCCACAAGTCTCCCATAGTAAGCCAGCAGCGACTCTCCTTCCCTGCGGCGGAATCCCCGGAACTCGACCACCCTCTCCGCCGTTTGCAAGAGAAACTGCTCCCGAAGCATGGTTAGAAAGCGCGTCGTTGGGTCCCGTTCGCCAGGTGCTCGCCCTGCTGCCCATTCCAGCAGTTCTCTCCTGGAGATTCGATAGTAGGTCTCAGCTTCTGCCGCCAACGTGTTTGCAAGCCCCCTGAAGAACTCCGGGTCCAACCGATCTTTCGCCCAGCGCGCCTGCAAGTTCTCAAGCTGCATGATGTAATTCTTCAAACTCGGCCCGCGCCTCGCGTCTCCTGAGAATCTCTCTGGCACTTCTATCTTGGGCAACTGCGTATACTTCCAGCGCTGCATCGTCGTCTCGTCTTTAGTTCCTTGCCATGAGGCGCTTCGCTGGTAAGCACTCGGTCCTCCCGGCTGCGAGCGCCCCGGCTGCTGGCTGCGCAGGCGCTCCCTCTGTTCAACAAACGCGTTATTCCCGCCATCCCCTGGATCGATTTGAGCGCCGCCTTGCGGTCCACTCGCCCCTTCGCTAGGCCCGTTCTGGCCTTCCGTTCTCCCTGTCTCCTGCGACTGGTTCGCCGCCCGATTACTCCCTTCGTCGGTCATTATCTCCTTGCCCGTGCTCAACTTAACCGTCACCGGCTCTAACTGCCGTCCCGATCTCAGTTGCATAGACTGCGTGTTTGTATGCTAATCTCCCTCCTAACTCATCTTGACTGATGTTATGGCTCCGTGCTAGAACTGCTTATCTTGGAGAATGCTGCAGTAATTCACGAAAACAAACACGCAGTGGCAGTCCCATGGCCCAGGACCTTGCCTTAAGCTTCCCAACACAAACCCTAGCAAGGCTAGCCTAACAATGCAACAGTGCTAAGCTGCCTAGCTTGCCATCCACACTATCTTCCCACCCATCTCCAGCTGGCGTTGCTGCCTCCCAGCTCTGTCCTGGACTCGATGTCTGCAAGAAGAAACCAAAGCACACACATGCATACCACACATCATACATCACACTCCCCACCAGCACCCCCATCCACGTCATCTCTCTGCCAACCGTGCCAACACACCCCCACCCTTCGCTACTGCCGCCCTTCCCCGAATTCAATCCCTCGCACCCACCTTCCTGCCACCTGCCTCCTCCTGCCACACCGCTGCCATTACAGTTCCTCGCCACAGTCTGCTTCGCTTATATACAAATGTACAGGATTTCCACCTTTACCCTCCGCTACACCCTCTGTCAGGATTTCTTAGGTGTTAACCTCAGAATTGTGACATATACAACCAGTACGCCAGCTTGGCATGCTATTTTAGACGCGGACACTTTACTATTCAATGTTTGTCATACCATGAAAAAAAAAAGGGGCGACGAATCGAACATGTTCGAGTCGAACTGAACAGGCGTTTGAGCTTTCGCTCATGTCTATGTTGTTCCATAGGCGTTTGTTTTGTAAGTAAGGTGAGGTGGCTATTTGAAGCTATGTTGCGCCTGACGCGTCAGGCGTTTTAGACGCTTGACGCCCGGTGCCCTCTGCCCTGGACGCCCGCTTGACGCTAGTCCGGGCAGGGCAAAAATGTTTTCCGGGCAGGGGTAAAAAAACCTGCCTAGTAAGGATACGCAGGGGTTAGAATGCAAGAAGTTAACATATGTCACCTATAGTTATAAATACTCCATAATATCCAGAAAATCCTGAAAATCTCCAGAAGGCGTGGAGGCACTAACAGAATGACCGGCGGGACTAGGAGTTGACATGATATCTTAATCGCCTTAACCTAATTTTAGCTAGGAAGGCTTAGTAGCGTGACTGACGAATTCTAGTGTAAGGAATGCTTGACAATGTCGAGAGAAACAGATCTGTGTAATGTCGACCTAGATCTGGTTCTCTAGTTTAGTTGGGGGTCGACCAGGTTGGGAGAGGTAGATGTGGATGGGTACAAATGTGTGGGGGGAATAAGTGAGGGTTGCGTTTTTTAGGTCAAAAACGCAGCCCCCAGATGGCAATTTCATCGTCAATTCTGGTCGCAATGAAATCGCGAGTCAAATTCGTACAGGAGATTTTTTTTTCGGGCTGCCCGATTTTTTTTTCCCCGAACGTCCAGCGTCAAACCGATGTGACGCGTCCAGCGTCCGGACGTGAACGTCCGAACGCTGGACGCTGCCCTTCCAGGGCGTCAGGCGCAACATAGATTTGAAGTGTTGGTGATGCACCAGACCAGGTGATGCTGTGAAGCTTTTTTAAGGTTATTTCAACATATAAGTATGTATGTGTTACAAATAAACGTATATTTTATTTCCCCAAAAGATACATCAAACTATGTTGAGGAAGACGCTTAGGAAGGAGACGTAGACGCACGTGAAGACGCAGGCCGGTCGGCGGATCTTTTTTGGGCTACCCGAAAAAAAAAAACAACCTGCTAAATTTTCATCAAATCGTTTATTCCGTGAAATCGTTACCCAATGGGAGCGATGTCGCCAAGCAAAATTGCGAACGAATGGGAGTGATTCTGCTATTTTGCAAAGCAAAATCGCTAGCAAATCATTTTTCCCCCAACCACCACACATTACCGCACTGCATCTCCCCCTCCCAATTTTGTCGACCTGAACCCAGTGTATGATAAGAATCAGGTCGACATTCAGAGCTTTCTCTCCTAGTCTACCTGATTCTCTTTTGAAAACCCTAAATCTCAGTTTTGTGAAATTTCGGTGTTGATTTGAGATTATATTGATAAACCATGTTCAATGTGGTTGCAATGTCCCGAAACTCGCTCTCCACCTCCTATATGGTTTTTTTGCCTACCCGTAATATTTGGTTACCCTGCCTGGCCGAGCGTTTTTTTAGCGTCCTATTGACAGACAGGTAAGCGTCCAGCGTCTGGACATTGGACGCGTCTTTCTCAACACAGCCATCAAATACCCTTAAAATGAAGGCTTTGCCTTTGTACAATCGTTTTTTCCCACCTTGATTATAGGCATGAGCAACAGTCGAGCTCGAACAGGTTTGATTTGGACGCTTTCAAAGTTGTGCCTTTGTCTTCAAGGCACGGTTCGACTGTTCGACTAAGCTGTCGACCCAAATTCGAACTGGTTCTGTTTTTGGCCTCCATTCACCCCTTTGCTATGTTGCACATAGCAACATAGCAATCAGATTGGGGTCGCCCTGGTTGGATAATGGGCAAGAGTAATCGGTATGAGAGGGAGAGTGGCGAAATGACGACCACGATCTCTTTTCTACTTCACATTATGGTAGCCCTAGTTGGAAACTGGACATTTGGAGTGGTTGAAATAAGCATGGGCATTTGACCCGACCCAGCCCGACCCGTCCCGTTGAGGGCGGACCGTTAGCTTAACGGGTCGGGTCGGGTCGGGTTAGCAGGTCGGGTTTGACTCTGTTTTGGTGACCCGACCCGCCCCGTGGGAACGGGTATTTGTGACCCGTTACCGGGTCGGTTACACCACGGGTCGGATCGGGTCGGATCAAAATATGTTACATAGCAGCAGGGTATGGGGGTTAGGTCTAAATTGCTACATTATAAACTACATGTTACAACTATATTCTTAAGTTTATACGTACCTTACGTTAGCCCAAGGTGCATGAATTCCAGGGCATCCAAACATGAAATGCAGTAATTTTTTCGCTTCAAACAAATGTCTATGGCGTATGTCAATAGAACAACAACCCTGTTTGTGAAGTGAATGTCAATCAAGCATGGAAATAAATAAAATCTACTGTATCTCCAAAAGGGTTATGGTAAATGGCCTAAGGCCTATAGCGACCACTCCCGCAGCAAACATTGCTCAAAACCCATCGTCCTCGGCCTCATAGCACAACTCCACAAGCAAACGCGCAGCCCCTGCCACGTTCAATGACCTGCCGCTCGTGTTCTGCGCCATCCATGACTTGATAGCCATGAGGGCGCTAACACGAGGGGCGCTCAAGCGGTGACGCTGCCATGTCACTACGTTCCTGCCCTGGCTAAAAGCGCGCTCGCTCGCTGCAGATGTGGCTGGCACTGCCAGATAGTCCCGAGCCATTTCCCTCAAACCCTCTAAATCCTTCCTATCACGCCAGTACGCTAGCGGGCAACCCTTCTGTTTACCCTCAGCCAAGTATATGTCTACCTCGTCACTTCTCTGCCCCCCCCTTGCTGCCTCAAATGCATCCATCTGTGCAAAAAGCGCATTTTGGAAGCTAACCCCCCCGCTGCCAGCGGCACGCGACGTCCCTGCGGCTTGAACACTAACACCAGCGCCGTCAGTGACCTCCCCCATGCCACTCGTAACCTCACCACCACCTCCCCGACTGCGCACCCTCTCCTCATATGCGACCAAACGATCGCGCACCAGGCGCATCACCGTCGGCTCATCCACGCCCTGCACACTCCTAGCACATCCCCCCACTTCTGTCACTTGCGCTGCATTGAGCGCCTCCCACTGGGGCATCTGGAAGAAGATGGTCTTGTAACGGGGGTCAAGGAAGGTGGCGATTGCCAACTCTTCCTTGGTGCCGTACGGGTACTTCTTCAGCTTGCCGAGGGCTTTGGTGATGAGGGCCTGTGTGAGGGGTGAGACGGCTGGCTCGCGGTAGGTGATTTCCATGTTGTCCAGCAGTTGGTTGTACAGCGGCACCACTGCTGCAGCTGTTGGGTACAAGGAAGCCTCAGCTACCGTGGTGATCGAGTGGAAGGGCTGAAGAAAGTTCTTCAGCTCGACAAGCGCGTCCCAGTGGACGTCACTGAGACGTATTTTGTCGAGCTGCTCGCGTAGCCTACAGGGGGGGGGGGGCTGGTATAGGACAACAACAAGGGTGGTACAGAGGGTTCACAAACTTAGTATACAATGGTGATGAAGTTACTCGTTACTAGATGGGTCCCAACATTGAGCTGATACACCATCCATATAGCCTCTTCAGACATACCGACAAACTATGCTAGACAACTCAACCCCCTTTCAAATCCTGCCAATACTCACGACCCTTGGGCGCCACACCATTCTCCCACACTCACTATTCGATACAGTCACAACTCCTCCAGCCCCCGACCAGCTACCCAAACTCACCATTCAATATAGTCACAACCCTTGGTGCGCCACACCAGCCCCATATACTCACCATCACCCAACATATACACACTACCGGAGCCTATCACCCACGTCAGTCCAGCTGGAAAACACCGTCAGTGCCTGCTGCAGCTCCAAGGCACGGCAGATCATCTCGTAAGTGGAGCCCCAACGTGTAGGCGAGTCGCAGATCAGACGTAGCACCTTCGCGTTGTCTCTGCCTGCCAACCTGCGCTGCAGACTGGCAAAAGCCTCTGACCGCTGGACCGACCATCCAATGTACGAACACGCATCCCGTAGGCGTTTCAACGCCTCCTTCACATCGTCCAACTTCAATGCCTCCTGCACTGCAATGTTCATGACATGTGCAAGACAGCTGTGTACAAAGAGGGCATAAGGGAAGGAAACAGATTTAGCTAAGGTTGATGTCACCTCGTGATAAAGTTACTACTACAGTATGCTGCCAAAGTGCCACATTTGAATCGATGCATGACAGGACGTACCGAACGTGACGCGCAATGTCGAGCAGTGGATTAGCTGTCCAGGCCCCTGGCCCCTCTGCTGGGTCCCCCGACAGAAGGCGCATCGCCTTGTTGTTGTTCTCCACATTGTCCGTCGTCACAGCAAACACTACATCCTGCAGGCCAGCCTCGGTCAAGATGCGCTCGAGGGTCTGTGCTATGAGAGACCCTGTGTGCGAACCCTCCAACTGCACGAAATCCAAAATCCCCGAACGTAGCCTGAAGTCACTAGTGATCCAGTGGACGGTCACACACATGAAAGCTGTATGGTTCTCACTGGTCCAGATGTCCAAGCTAAGGGACACCCTCCCCGCGAGACCGTCGCCAAAGATCTCCTGCCTCAGCTCCTCTCGAGCCACCTCACTGAATGCTTGCATGTCCCGTGCCAAACGGTAACGTGACCCCAGCAAATCCTTGGCCGATGGATTCAGCAAGGCGACAAATCGACGGAACTGGTGAGGTCGGGCAGGGACAAAGAAGCAAACACACACTTAGCATTGTCCCAGCTGTGTACCAGGGCATCCCAACCCAACTGAGATGTTCAGACAGGATTTGAGACTCCCGGTGCAGGAATAGAGGGTAGAGTAGTTGTTGTTTGACTCACCGAAGCTCGGTCGACAAGACGAAACGGAAGATCCGCATCAGCAAACAACTCCACGAGAGCACTGCGTAACTCGTCCTGCGACACCCTTGGACTCATGAACGCGCGCATGTCAACACCACTACGACTCCCACTCCCCCCCCCCCCCTGCGCCAGTGCCCGCCGCGGCTGCAGCAGCTGGGATGTTCGGCCAGGCAGCCGCGTGCTCCCATGCACCACCGTGCGGGTTGGGCACTGTTGGCCCATCGCCCGACACGCCATAGCCGCCCCAAGGAAACTCTAGGTCCTTTGGCTTCGCCGGGTCCAGGAACCGCCGCACCCAAATTTGCACATTAGGGTAGTGCGCGCGCTTGACATGCTTCCACCCAGTCCCCGTGCTACCCCCATCCCATCCCATTACGTCCCCACACACCCGACACGGACGACAACCATCCTCAAGCTCACCAAACATTCCCACAAGTAAACCAGGGTAGTGCTTCCCTGCCAAACCCTCAACCACCGAATCCTTAGGCAAATCCTCCTTTCGTTGACGCTTTGACGCACGCCCACGACTCCCCGCTGTCCCACCACCCCGATTGATGCCACCAGCATGCAACGGCGTAGACCCAACACCATCGGACCGTTGAGTGGGTGCATTCCCTGGCCCTGGATCGGGCGCAGCCTCGGCCGCTCTCCCACCACCACTGCCACCGCGCCCAGCCCTTGCAGCACTATGCGCAACCCTCCCAACCCTCCCCCCACCTCGTCTATCTACTGGGGGGCCGCTAGCATACCCCCCACTGCGCCCCCCTGCATTGCCTACGGCCTGCGCACACGCAGAAGACCGACCCTGCCCGCGACCAACCCGTCCCCCCCCACGACCCCCTTGACCCCTTCCTCCCCGTCCATTATCCCCTCCATGTTCCCTGGCATTGCGGCCAGCACCCTCCTCCTCCTGCTCTTGCACCTCCTCCTCCACATTTGCGTCCCCTCCCGCCCCCGCTGCAGAGTCCTCTGCCGCCGCCGCCTCGACCTCCGCTACAGTAGGCCTATACTCATTATCATCGCCTGTTTCATCACGGGTCTGCCCACCACCCTGCCACTCTCGATGAGGACTGCTAGGCCAGTAGGAATCCTGTTCCTCACCCCTTGCATCTCCGCCATTAGTCTCAACAGGGTGCTGTAGAGCACTACCCAGCATAAAATTGGTTCGTGCTGCAGGTGTTGGAAGTCGATTAAAACTAGCACCTTGCAGAGCTCGTCCTTCTTCATTCCCATCTCCGCCTCCCTGGTTAGACTCCCCGTTCATATTCCGTTCATTGTAGCGCCTTCGCGCTGCTGAAGGTGGCGCCTTGGCGCTGCTAAAGGTGGCGCCTCCGCGCTGCTGAAGGTGGCGCCTTCGCGCTGATGAAGGTGGCGCCTTCGCAGTGATGAAGGTGGCGCCTTCGCGCTGCTGAAGGTGGCGCCTTCGCGCTGCTGAAGGTGGTCGCGATCGCCCTGCCCTATCGCGGTGCCTGATCGCGATGCTGAACCTGGCCGCGATCGCCCTGTCCTAATGCGGTGCCGCGATCGCGCATATGCGGGGCGGCGATCGCGCCAATGTGGGGCCCTGATCGCGCTGAGCAAACGCGGGGCCGAGATCGCGCTATTGTGGGGACGCGATCCCTCCAATGCGTGGCCGCACGCGCGCTGCTGCGCCCCTGGTCGTGCGACGCTGCGAAATGGCGGGAGCGCCAAACCCTAACCTGAAGATAATATGCAGTTTAAATAGTGCTAACATTGAAGAGTGAAGACTGTATGAGGCTCCATAGTTGCAGCGCAGAAGTACTAGCCTTGATCTAGTCTAGCGACTAGATCAGAATGTCGAGGGAAAAAAAACCTAAAAAACCAACCGATGTTCAACCCCTACCCTAATCCGAAAACGGGTCGGGTAACCCTGTCATTTGACTGGGTACGCGACCCGGACGGGACGGGTCAACCTGACCCGGCGGGTCGCAAATACCCGTCACTAAATCACAGTGACGGGTCACGGGTCGACCCGACCCGTCCGGGTTTTCCCGACCCGACCCGGGCGGGTCGACCTTCTCAGCATTCCTGTCCCGACCCGCCCTAAAGGGCGGGTCGGATCGGGTTACCCGACCGTCCGGGTCAAATGCCCCTCCCTACCTGAATTTGAACTTGCACTCAAGTTGCCCCTCCGAGCACAGATTGAACAGGTCAAATTGGCCTAACAGGATCTTGTCAAACCAAAAATGATGAAAACATAACTCTACTTTGGTTCCACACAAACCGGTTTGCCTAAACCGAACCAAGGTTCGGTTTAGCCATGCCTAGTTGACAGCTATATAAATCTGTTTCTTGACTTGTGCATGCAATCATCTGCACACAAGTTGCCCCAAGCATATTCTCTCCTGTGCTGATCTGCCCACTTCCACTGCAACAACACATCTGGCACCAGCCTCACTTGTCCTGCTGCTGACAGCACCACCTGCGCCCAAACCTTATCGCCAAAGGCGGCCTTCTGCCAAGATTGTGGCACCACCTGTTCTGCATGCCAGCAAGAAACAGGTTAGTGGGGTTCATGAAGCAGTGCCTAGTTTACTTGAATCACCCCCACTACTAGCCCCTGAGGGAGACCCGGATGCACTAGACATCCCGACTCCGCGTTCTTACGCGGAGGCCGTAGAGGGTCCCTACTCCTCTCAGTGGCAGGCAGCTATGGATGCAGAGATGGCTTCCTGGAAGTCCACAGGCACCTACGTTGACGCGGTTCCCCCTCCTGGGGCGAACATCGTCAGTGGCATGTGGATCTTCAGGGTGAAGCGGCCGCCGGGCTCCCCGCCTGTCTTCAAGGCGCGTTACGTGGCTCGTGGCTTCAGTCAGCGGCAGGGAGTTGACTACTTTCAGACCTTCTCTCCCACCCCGAAGATGACCACTCTTCGGGTGCTGCTGCACATAGCCGCTCAGCGCGACTACGAGCTTCACTCTCTCGACTTCAGCACTGCGTTCCTGCAGGGTAGCCTGCACGAGGAGATCTGGCTGCGCCGTCCGCCTGGCTTCACTGGGACTTTCCCTCCTGGCACCCAGTGGAGCCTCCGACGGCCAGTCTATGGTCTCCGCCAGGCACCGCGTGAGTGGCACGACACACTGAGAACTACGCTTGCGGCTCTTGGGTTTGCTCCTTCTACTGCTGACCCGTCGCTGTTTCTTCGCACCGACACTTCCCTGCCGCCGTTCTACATCCTCGTGTACGTCGACGACTTGGTCTTTGCCACAGCGGACACTGCTGGACTCGCCTACGTGAAGTCCGAGCTGCTGAAGAGACACACGTGCACAGACCTGGGTGAACTGCGCAGCTACCTTGGCTTGCAGATCACTCGGGACAGAGCACGCCGCACCATTACCCTGACTCAGTCACACATGGTGCAGCAGGTCCTTCAGCGCTTCGGCTTCACGTACTCCTCGCCTCAGGCCACTCCTCTGCCTACTCGCCACTCACTCTCAGCTCTGCCTTCGGATGAGTCCGTAGAGTCGAGTGGCCCGTATGCAGAGCTTGTTGGCTGCCTCATGTACCTGATGACCTGCACACGACCTGACCTTGCATACCCTCTGAGCATCCTTGCACGCTATGTTGCTCCTGGGAGACACCGACCAGAGCACATGGCTGCAGCGAAGAGGGTATTGCGCTACCTGTGCAGTACGTCGGGCATGGGGCTAGTGCTTGGAGGGCGGAGTCCAGTGGTCCTCACTGGGCACGCGGACGCTTCTTGGGCTGACGACCAGGCTACGCAGCGGTCGTCACAGGGTTACACCTTCAGCCTTGGTTCCGGCTCTGTCTCGTGGCGGTCTACTCGCTCGTCTTCGGTTCTCGGCTCCAGTTGTGAGGCTGAGATCTACGCCGGGGCCATGGCTGCACAGGAGCTTCGCTGGCTCACCTACCTGCTGACTGACCTTGGAGAGCCGCCTCGTTCTCCTCCAGTGCTGTACGTAGACAACAAGGCCATGCTGGCCTTGTGTCGAGAGCAGCGCTTGGAGCACAGAACGAAGCACATTGCTCTCCGCTACTTCCTTGCTCGTGAGCTGCAGCAGCGTGGTCAGTTGCGACTTGCTTACGTGGCCTCTGAGGCCAACACTGCTGATGTGTTCACCAAGGCACTTGCGCCTTGTGACCATCAGCGCTTTTGTACCCAGCTGGGTCTTGTACCTGTCTTGCCTCACTTGCTCTCTTCTTGACTTTACTTGTACTTTGACATATATATACTTGCTCTTGCTTGTCTAGTTTTATATATATGTCTGTACTCCTGCATGTGAACTGGCCTCTGGCCCTGCTCTTGTGCTCGGACTGTGTGGTGACTTTGTGATCCACCCTGAGCTTGTTTTGCTTTGCTTGAATGGTCTTGTGACCCCTTGTTCTCCCCCACTTTGCCTATGGGGGTGTGTCAGAACATTATAGCTGATGCATGTTTGTAGGCTATAGTGGGGTAGCCCATATGGGGTACAGGTTCCTAGGGTTTGTTATTTGTACCAATTTCTGACTTAGTCATTTCATTCCTTGTTTACCTATCTTCACAGTTGTGCAGTACTTGGCTGAGCTGGCAGTGAGCTGCATTGTGGAGCGCACTGCAAGCCGCCCAAGCATGGCGCACATTGCCACCCAGCTGCAGGCTGTCAGGGAGGAGGTGGCGGGGAAAGAGGAATCTAGCGCTGCCATCAAGGTGGATGCGCAGGTCCAGGAGATGAAGGATAGTGTTGCGGGTGAGGACAGCCTGGAGGCACAACTTCAAATGATTGCGGATAGGGGCAGCTTCATCACCAAACACCCAGTCTAGGATTGGGATGAGGTAATCGTGGTTCATATGTGACATTGTTGCATTGTATGCATCATTCCAGCCTCCTGATTGCTTTGGGGGGCCCGAGGGACTGCCCTGCTATTTGTGATACTTACCGTTACTTGCTCATTTTTACACCTTTTCTTTTTACACTATAGGACGGCTTGACTTGTCTTGAAATCAGACGCGCGGCAGCGGCTTAGTGGAGGGAAATCCTTGTTTCCACCTGAATCATAGGCAACCCTCCACGCCAGGGCTGACACTACGAAGTACAGACCTTGGAAAACTGCATAGGCTTCTATATGGAGCATTGCAGTTATATTCGGTTCTCAAATATAAGCGCACCCCCTAACAAAATGTGATTTGTTAAAAGCGCACCCCTATCACTGTAACAAACTTCACCTTAGCGGGCGAGTTCCAAATCCAGTCCCCTTCACTCTTGGGTCACTTGCC